GGGGTGATACTTCTAAAGTCACGCACTTCTTAGTTGCTCAGTTTCAGATAACAGCATTTCAAAACGATAGCTTCTGTTGTTTGTTAAACAGATAGAAGAGGCTACGTGAACCGACGCATCTCGAGCTGGAACTATAAGATACGAAAAGCAACAAGATCGAATAACATGTACATTGTCTTCTTTACGGATGAGAATATTGCGACTTACACATAATAAATCGCAGCCTCTGTTGCTGAATAGGAAAGAAATGGCTCATTAAAGCCATTACCATCCCGGCGCATATGGAGGGTACAATACGATAGCTCGTCTGTGTTGTCCTCCTCATTCTGGGGCGAAACTGTAATGTGCACCCGTGTTCCGAATCCGAAAACTCCCAAATGAGCAGTCGCTTTCTCGCCATGCGCATAACATATGCCAACCACCCGGTGGTCCCAGTGAAGCACGACAGTTACAAGTAGGGTTGGTGTGACAATTGACGGAGATGGTGTCCCAAATTAGGCAACCTCAGACAGTACGGTGTAATGGGACCTATTCACCTGGTGTCTAATTTGTGATGGGCCGTCGGGTGTGGCAAAGAAATAACACAGGCCAGATATATCAATGTCCATGTCTAAGCGAAGCGCATATCGAGTTTAACGAAGTGGATAAAAAGTAGATCCACAGTAACATCGTAACAGTACGGCTAAACACACAAGTAGTTTTTGAAAGTGGAATATAGTGTGACGAATAGCCACCAGATTGACACAGGCCATGTCTGACGGAAACAACTCCGGCATCCGTAAAAATAAAACTGGCTGAACTCGAATATCCTACTGGGTACATCTGGGGCAATTCAGTTACACACTAGATAAGGTTAATTTCTGGATGAGTGTCTAGTGATCCTAGAACAGAATTATATATATATATATATATATATATATATATATATATATATATATATATATATATATATATATATATATATATATATATATATGGTTGGTGGCATCCCGTTTCGGATTTGGCTGTCACTGTGGCAAGCCACAGGACGCCTGCGCCTACAGAGGGACCATGGGTGGCTTGCGCTGCACCACCTACAGCTCCAACCGCATACCCTATATCCAGTGTATATATGCAGCAGTCCACGAATAGACTTTGAGTCATCAAAAGCCGTGAAAATCAAAGGAAGTTGCAGTTGTCGTAAAGAGAAGACCGAACGCAACACAGAAATCTACGGTATCTTCAGAGAGCACGATACTACTCGGTTGCTCGAGCCGAGAGGGTGCTGACTTAGGGGAAAACACCCGAAGCCTCTGGCTGAATAGCTTACCCGTAAGACAACGGGTAAGGATAATCAAAGAACACGTGAGAGAAAAATACACATTTATCGTCTCCCTGATTGATGAGTGTTAGAAAGAAATCTGAGTTAATATAATGTGAAATCACACCGAACTAATGGCAAGCAACCTGAAAGAGAATCTACAGTGAGCATGCGACAGATCCACTGCTTGACTGAATACAAAACTTCGGTAAAGGGTAATCTTCGGGCTGATCGCTACTTGAAATTGACAAAGAACAACAGACCATTCTCTCATGCAGTGCCGGTTCAGCGGACAAAGGGATAGCTGCAGACATCTTAGGCCCAAACGGCTTCCATTTATGACACTCGATGCCGATCACATTTCATCAGGGAGAAGGCATTTTGAATTGATGGCATATTTTAGACGAAGATACCTACCTCCTTTATGAGAGCAAATTAGGTTGCGACAAATCCGATGACAAATTCGTCCAGGCGATAACCGAAAGTTGACACTGGCGTTGAACGTTACAAGCTAGGGTCAATATCAAGGATAGACAAACAGCTGCACGAATGCGTTCTCAGTAATCGCGCGTTGTCGATAAATGGGATATCATACGTGAGTTCAATAAGCTGGACACCTGTGGCGCCGCGGGTTGATTTGCCAGAGTGGCATGCACAAACGGTCACACAAACGAGCGGACAAAATAGCGCGTAGATGGGGCAGGCGGCAAACGAGCAATACACTCCTTCCGATAGCATATAAGTAATGCGGAATGCCTTCGTTTACTTGTGACTGGGTACGTTGCCACACGCAGATCAAAATACAGAGGAGATTGACGAAGCTTTCGCATCACGTATAAAGTTACTAGGTATACAGAACAACCAATTCTTTCTCATATTTTGTACCTATTGGATGGCGATCAGCTCCAACTCCATTTTTGACCACGAGATTGAATGTTAGGGTCTTTCTAAATAAATGCACACGTAGTAAATCAGAAGTTCTGAGGAGCAACTGGTCGTTCGATTCACCTCCACTTCAATAGCCCAGCATCCGAACGTCTGCTTTAGACTTGTCATCGATCATAGCAAAATCCACGACAGCACAGCACCTTTGCTGGGCAATTCATAGGATACAACGATCCAGGAAGTGGTGACACTGGGTCTGAAAGCGCTTATAAGTAACGCGCATTAAGACCACAGTTCCCACCTGTGTTTAAGTAGCGAGTTTGCTGAACGGTCCAACCGTTCGTAGCTGATAAGACTACCCAACTGCGCTAATCGCTAAATAGTTCGATTTGACACGCAGCTGAAGATTAAGGCAGTATTACATGTACAAAGGTGTCGAATAAGAACACATCTAGAGCTTCAAGGAGAACTTCCGAGGCAGGAAATTTCCATGTGACATAAAGTAGTCATCCTGTGCCACCGATTACACAACTGATGGAACATTTGTGAGCGACGATATGACAACATGCTTGGTAATGTGATCTCATGTACCGGTCATCCTATCGAGTGGTCGACGGAAAAGAAAAAACGGTTACTAAATTTGGTTGCAAAATATATGGGTCACTCTGGGTACGTATCTGGTCTCCGGTATCTTCGGGAATTTATGAGCGAGGTTGTCTGGGAGCATAGTTACTCATCATTTGTGTCCAGTCATCAGCGTATCAGGAGTTAGAGGGCACCGGTACTTCTACGTCGGAAACTGCTCAAACGAATAGCTGAATCAGGCTCACATGTGAAATGTCAACTAATTTGGAATGTGGACACAGCTTGCTTCCGCTTCCAAAGTAACATGAAATGATGTACACTGGATATCGAGCCAAGCGGTGATCAGTCCCTTAGTGTATCATGAAGGCATCAATGACGAAGAGGCAAACATATGGTCGGTGGGCACCGTTCAGGCGTATAAGCAAGCACAAAAGGCATTTATGGCGACCGGTGGAAAAGCACCGTGTATCTACGAAACGCATGTGTGTAACGCTACAAGCAGACTGGTCCTGCATTCCTCCCTCAGATAGTGGCAAAGCTATCGGTTTCCATGGTGCACCTAGTGTTCAAAATGGCCTTTCGTGTCTGATTCTTACTTAGTATAGAAAATTGATCAGTGGGGCACATGCACTTCACAAGACGAGGCGGTGAGAAAGACGTGGGGACTGTTGCGTGGACTAAAATGCTAACAGGAAGCTTTTTCAGATGTTGAGGTGGCGCCTGATGTAGATCAGTTTCTGCAAGCCAGACACGTGAACAGCAGTGGTACGACTCATTATCCTACTGTGTGCGGCTGTTTACGCAGAGCAGTGCAGCACAGTAACATGATATTGTCCCAACTCTGCTTCCACGGGGACAACCCGAAATCCCCTAAGAGGGGGAATCCCATTTGAATGGATGATGATGTGAGAAAAACAACCGGCTAGCTTCATGATGGGCGAATGAAAGAGCAGGAGTTCTATCAAGAAAACACAAATGATTGAAATAAGCCGCAAAAGATAAGTGCTTGTCTGTCCAAGTTGACTGCCAAGTAAAACCAATTTGGTATCTAATATTTGTGATAAAGTGTGGTGGCCCGATTTATAGTTGTACCGTTAGTAGACGAAAATTGAGCGAGCGCATGGAATTCGCAACGACGTTAGAATTTGACAGAAAGTATCCACCATATATCATGGTCCCATTTTGAACTACTCACTGACTCAACACATTGATGTGATACACATTATGAGAAGACACTTTGACAAGCACTACCAGCTTAAAAGTGGATGAGTTCTAGTTGATATACTGATTATGATAATAATATTAATAATAACAGTGTTTTTGCTCCAGTTGATAGGAAACACTACCAGAACGGGGAAAGTGCGACAAAGAGCTGACCCTCAAATCGGTACCGACCCAAAATTAGAATGCGGTATATTTGTTAGCACGAAAACATCGTGTGATGCTATCGATGAACATGAAGATGGTGCCAGACGTATAAAATTTCGAAACCATGTGCACGAGCAACATAATGGAAGAGGTGAAGTGGGTCACATAAAACAAATGAAGATGTACGAGACAACAAATTGCTGAATAAAACGACCCGATGTAGATAGTATGTAAGTATACATAAAGGGTTTGCGAGCTGAGGTGATTCCACATATGGATAGGGCTCGCAGACAACCAGTACGGAATCGTCGAAAAACGGATCGTTTCATAAGGCCTAAAAGATTGGAGGCCCCCACATCATTGTAAAGAGAGGAAGGAATTGTCGTATACGAAAGATCAATCAAAATGGTTTAGCCGTCCCTCGATGCCAACATTTGCCAAGACCCTACCAGACTATCATCGTCTGACCAAATATTGGTGCGTCTGGTACGCATGATTTCCCAATTAGGCAGGAACGCTTCTGTTCTACTTGTTGAAGGAGAGTGGGCCGGCTCCGTTAAAGAAACGTGGCTCCCATCCACATGCCTCCCGGTCTTATTCCTTCGAGTTTACACTGGATATGGGGTGTGTGGTTGGAGCTGCGGGTGGTGCAGCGCAAGCCACCCATGGTCCCTGTGTAGGCGCAGGCGTACTGTGGCTGTCCTATGGAGGACACAGTGACAGGCAAATCCGGACACGGATGCCATCAATACATGCATAGAACTTCCGTTAGTCACCCGTCTCATTTAGAAAGTATAAATAAACGGAAACTAATGTTTTTGTTGGTACCTTAATTATGGACCGAAATATAACACGCAGAAAGCGTATGAGCAGGAATTAAGCAGGACTATTTTCAACCATATATAGCGGGGTATAATTGGATTCTGTACTTGGGAAGAAAGGGTATAGTAGAGGTGCGACAAAATCTTGGTACTTATACAAGTCAGTAGACCAATTATTCCTGTGAACGGTCTCCAACTTCCATGTGGTTCAGACAAAGTAGAAATCTAGACAGTTCAAAAGTCGGGTCTGGAGCTCAAATAGGACCATTAAAGTAAAGTTGAACAATGCAGGTTAAGCCACACATGCACAAAATGCCATTCAAAATGAAAACTGTTGGTTCGTGGGACACACTGATCAATATACATTGGAAAAGCTCAAAAGTGAAAAGAGTTTCAAAAACTGCACACTGTTTCGAGAAAAAAGTAGTTTAATCTAAGTCATACTTGTCGCGGGGTCCCAGTGTGAAACCAGACCTTTGTATAATATACCCTGCAGCTTTGAGTGCTGATTGAATAGATTTTTCCACCGAACCGCTAATGATGTATTCCGCAATGAAACCGGCGGCAAACGCGTCACCGGCTCCGTTAGTATCCACAATATACTCATCGTCAATGTGAGGTACAGCGAATTCTTTGGTCTCAGGTTCCCCGGTTCTGGCCACAATCACTTGGTCGGCGTCTTGAGTGATAATTACAATACGATCGACAGGTCTATCGGAGTTGGATTTAATCATGCACAGCCGTTGAGCAATCTTGGAAAGTGGTTCGTTGAAATGGCCATGTGAATCGCCGTAAGCCAATGCTTCTGCTTTGTTGCCAAATAAGATGTCCACGTACGGAAGGATAGCGTCCAATTTCTCGGTGAGGAAGGTGGAGATGAATGGGGCACTCAAATTGAAACAGAACAGTTTTCCGTTTATTCGTGAATGCTTCGCAATTTCAATTATTCCTTCAAAACAAGAACTGATCACGTAGCCCTGGAACAGAAGGATAATGAGCACAAAGTTCGAAAAACTCACTGATATATAATAAACTTTGGCACTCTCGACAAGGGACCAAATAGATGCGTCTAGAAGTCCCCCAAGGGAAAGTTCTTTGGCGGCACCTAAGTGCGTGACCATGCTCCGGTGCTTGCCGAGAAGCAGTACCGCACACCGTCCAGTCCCCGAACCGCTGCCGGTGACTTCGAAACGGGTGCGCAGACCGAGTTTGTCACACTCCTGCTTTAAAAGATCACCAGCATAATCGGATGCAATACAACCAATGTATGTACATCGCTGTGGTTTACGCAGAGTCCACTGAATCATTTTTATGGTGTTTAAAGTCGCTCCCCCAGCTGCGTACGTCACGTCATACTTATCCTCTAACTCTTTGTACAACGGATTGTCTTTATCATCCGTTAGAATCGCGTCGTCCGTCTTCAAATTGTACTTCGCAAACAGTTGCTCATCTACATTAGCAAGAAAGTCCAACAGCGGATTGCCCACACCCAGGACGTGACCCTCGGCCACAGTTTCCATTGCCAGGACTTGCCTGCGACGCGTAGCCGAGTTTTGATACCAATCTCGCCAATCGCATTGCTCTATGTATGTCCTTGAACTAATTGCTCTGTTGCGATTGGGCCTTTCTATCAGTGCCTGAGTATCGACCGCATGTTGTGACAGCGAAGGCCGATTTATGCCAGCTGGGAGTGGGCGTTGGGCGATTAGGCTGTAAGGCGGTTGACGCTAGCTTTAGGGTGGGGTAGGCGCATGGTCTCTGGAGTCACGTTCGGTGTGCGTCTGCCGACACGGCTACTTTCATCAAACAAACCTCACTGGGCAGAATCCGTTCGTAAGTGCGCCCAAACGCCCTTTATACTACCTTGAACAAGGCAGGTTAGTGGCAAACTGACATGCGCCTGCACTGCAGTCATGTGGGGGAAATAGTTCTGCTGTTATGGTGGTCCGTAAATAAACGTTTTACGTCGGCAACTAACCTCACCATTTGTAAATTTTAACGTTCCGCAAGACCATTAGCTGTTTCTGGCAAAATGTTGTAAAGCATTCGAGCGAGAATATTTTGTTCGATTCTGCTTTTGTTCTAGTTAATTTAGCTTAATCTATGCCTATTTTTCAGAGCGTTAAAATGGGATGTCAAGTTAAGAAAAATGAGCATTTTTGTCGCCTTCTTTTTGCATTTAATCAAGGGTCCAATGCTGCGAAAGCTGCTCGCGACATTTGTGCTGTGGACGTAGGAGGTGCCTCATAGCTAAAAAAAATTGCTCGTGATTGGTATGCCAAATACAAAAACGGATATTTCGACCTCAACTAAGCGCGTCGTTCTGGCCATCCAATGGAGTTCGAGGCAGGGCTATTAAACCCACTTTTGCACGAAAATTCGCGTCAAACGACAAGGGAACTGGCAAAGCAAATGGAAAGTACCCACTGTTAGGTCTCGAACGGCCTGCTCTAAGGAAAATCGCGTTGTCTGAAAATCAAGTCGAGTTGGCGCCACTGATTCAGGCCAAATCTTGTAACTTGGATGGAAAAACAGAATTTCACACAGACCAAAGTCAAATGCGCACCGAAACGAAACAAATTGACTTGTTCGGAAAGGTAAGTGCGCGATTTCCCACAAGGAACCGTGTGCCTTGCATTAGAACAGTCTTAGTTACAAGCAGACTAGTGTTTTTCCATGTTGCAGAACATTGTTACTATCGCTTGTTTCACGCCACTCACACGTCCCTTGTTTCTTTGAGACATATAAAATCAAACGAGCACACTTCCGTGATTTGAACTGTATCAGGGTGTTTTCATCCCAACGCGGCCTGTTCTGTGTTTCGCCAATATACTACTCGTCCAGTGGTTTGTCTTTTGAATCGCGTGGCACAATCTAGGAAGCCGCTAAGTCGAGCCCTGAAGACACAACAGATTTCTGGCGACGGAGGTGTTGAACAATGGCCATTTCTTTTGAGCAGATGCAGCAGCTCCTCCATCAACAGCAGGTGCAGTTCGAGAGATCCCAGAAACAGCTGTTCGACTTATTCGCACAGAAATTGAACATTAAACCAGAATCCCAAGATGCTGGCGCACGGATCTCAGTAGACGCAGTTACAGCATCCATTACGGAGTTCATTTTTGATGAATCAAACGGAGTAACTTTTGAATCCTGGTTTAAGAAATATGAAGATATTTTCCGCATTGAATTGGAGGCACAAGATGATGCATGGAAAGTTCGGTTGTTGTTGCGCAAACTCGGTGCAGTCGAACATGAACGGTACACGAATTTTGTGCTGCCAAAGAACCCCAGAGACTTTCGCTTCGACGAGACGGTGACAATACTGAAGACTATTTTCGGTGAGCAAGCATCCTTGTTCAGTATTCGTTATCATTGTTTTAAGTTGGTCAAAAGTGATATTCATGACTATATAACACATGCTGCAGTTGTGAATAGAGAATGTGAACGTTTCAAACTGGGTATGATGACACCTGATCAGTTCAAAAGCCTCATATTTGTTTGTAGTCTTCAGTCTCACACCGATGCTGACGTACGCACACGTATCCTGCATAAGTTAGAACAGGAACCTCATATGACATTACAGGACATTGCCGCTGAATGCCAGAGACTGATTAATCTAAAGCACGATACCAAAATGATTGAAAATGCTCATTTCAGGAATGAACCGCAAATTTATCACACAGCTGTTCGCGGTAAAAATGTGAGCCATAGAGTCCCCAACCAGAAACCCCCAACTTCCTGTTGGAACTGTGGTGGATGGCATTTCGTACGTTTCTGTTCCTATAGGAAACATCTCTGTCAGAAGTGCAAACGCCTTGGTCATAAAGAATCACATTGTCACACCACCTACAATCCCAGGACTGTGTCTGACCCTAAATTGCGCACGAACTCTAAATCCAAAAAGACCTTTAACGGTGCAAAGACAAAAGTAGTTCTCGCGACCTGTCGCACAGAATTTGCCGGCAAGCGAAAGTACCTCACCGTTGAAATTAATAATGTTCCCATATCGTTGCAACTAGCTACGGCATCGGACATTACCATAATTTCTCGATCCTCATGGATGAGACTCAGTAGACCACCACTCAGGCGCACAAATTTGACCGCCCAAAATGCATCCGGTGAACCACTGAGGTTAGATGGTGAGTTTACATGTGAAGATAAGTTTAAGGATCTGAAGCTCTGTGGAACCATCTATCTAATTTCTTCTGTTGACATTAATCTTCTTGGGATTGATTGGATCGGAAGGTTGAATTTGTTTAGTGTGCCATTGAATCATGTGTGTTCCGAAACGAACGTCATGGTGCATCATACAACCGTGCCATCTCATCCACGTCAAACTATTGCGGAACAGCTTCAGGTAAAATATGCTTGCGTTTTTCAACCTGAACTTGGACATTGCAACAAGATGCAGGCAAAACTTACTTTACTACCTGATGTTACCCCCGTGTTTCGACCCAGGCGTCCGGTCCCATATGCATCTCAAGTACTTGTTGAGCATGAGCTTGATCGATTGCAGCAAATTGGTGTGATCGAGCCCATTAATTTCTCACCGTGGGCTGCTCCTATTGTCGTAATTAAGAAGCCGAAAGGTTCTATTCGCCTCTGTGCAGATTTTTCAACTGGTTTAATGATGCACTACAACCACATCAGTACCCACTCCCACTTCCTGACGATCTATTCGCGAAGCTGAATGGTGGTAAATATTTTGCTACTTTGGATCTGGCTGATGCATATTTGCAGTTAGAAGTTGAACCTGAAAGTCGAAAGCTTCTCACGATCAACACTCATCGTGGTCTGTACCAATACAATCGTCTGCCGTTTGGCGTTAAAACCGCTCCAGCAATTTTTCAGCAAGTTATGGATGCCATGTTGACTGGAGTAACTGGAGCTGCAGCCTATCTGGATGATATCATCATTATGGGCACCACACAGGAGGAACTATTCCAACGACTGGATGATGTGATGATGCGAATTAAAGATTATGGGTTCCGTTTACGTGCAGAGAAATGCAAATTCTTTTTGAGGTCTGTTAAGTTCCTGGGATTCGTGATCAGTGAACGCGGACGACATCCCGACCCCGAGAACATTGAGCTGATAGACAGATTGCCCACACCAACGGATGTCACAACTCTGAGATCGTTCCTTGGAATGGTGAGTCACTATGGCCAATTTTTGCCAGCGATGCATCACTTACGTCAACCTTTGAATCATTTGCTGACGAAAGATGTCGAATGGAAATGGTCCAGGCAGTGTCAACAGGCATTCGAAAAATTGAAATCGCTACTAAAATCAGATCTGCTGCTCACCCATTACAATCCTAATCTGGAGATCATTCTAACAACAGACGCTTCTAGTTATGGAATCGGTGCAGTCATTTCACACCTCTTTCCAGATGGTTCAGAAAAGGCTGTTGCGCATGCGGCACGAGCCCTGACGCCCTCTGAGAAGAACTGCAGCCAAATTGAGAAGGAAGCCCTCGCTATTGTTTTCGCTGTTCAGAAATTTCACAAAATGATTTACGGACGGCGTTTCACACTAGTGACCGATCACAAACCGCTACTCGCCATTTTTGGATCCAAAAGGGTATTCCGGCATATACAGCCAGTCGTCTTCAAAGGTGGGCCACTTTGCTCTTGGGATACGAATTCAACATGAGGTACTCGTCAACTGACTCCATTGGCCAAGCGGACGCTCTGTCCAGATTAATCGATACTAGTCGACGTGAGCCGGAGGATGCCGTCATTGCTTCAATCACAACCGACACGGATATCAGCCACATGATACAGGATGCCGTGAGTACTTTACCACTAACTGCAAGAATGGTTCAGGCAGCCACACGTCGGGACACATTGCTACAGAAAGTCTTGATTTATACAAGACAAGGTTGGCCAAAGCAGTGCCCTGACACATCGCTTGCACAGTTTTTCACACGGCGGGATGCTCTGTCTGAAGTCGATGCCTGTCTCTTTTTCGCAGATCGCCTTGTCATTCCCGAAGTACTCAGGCAACGAGTTCTGGGGCAATTGCATAAAGGTCACCCAGGAATCGCCCGAATGAAAGCACTCGCGCGCAGTTACGAGTTTTGGCCCTCAATGGATAGTCAAATAGAAGACATTGGACGATCCTGTTCTAAATGCTGCAGTGTTTCCAAGTTACCAGTGCGCACAACATTACAATCTTGGTCGCGTCCCGAATCACCCTGGTCGAGAATCCAGGTGGACTTTGTGGGACCAGTTGAGGGAAGTTTCTTTCTCGTCATAGTCGATGCATACAGTAAGTGGCCTGAAGTTACTGTGATGCGAAATACGTCCTCAAACAGCACAATTCTTGCACTGAAGCGTCTTTTCAGTCAGTATGAGCTGCCACAAACGATCGTATCAGACAATGGATCACAGTTCGCTTCTTATCAATTCGCTGACTTTTGTGCACAAAATGGAATACAGCATATGAGGACTGCACCTTATCATCCCCAAGCCAATGGCAAAGCAGAAAGGTATGTTGATACCCTGAAACGTGCTTTGTTAAAATCGAAGGGGGAGGGGA